TCTCTGAGAAGAGATGGTCAGAGAGGTAAGAGGAGAACCAAGTGAAAGAAGCATCAGGAAAACCTAGAGGGAAGAGAATATCTAGGAAGCAAGGATGGTCAATGGTATAAAATGCTGCAGAGAGGTCAAAAAGAATCAGATGTGATCAAAGAGTATCAGATTTTGCAATTAAGATATCATTGCTAACAATAAAGAAGAAAAATAAATTTCAATTGAATAGTGAGATCAGAAGCCAAATTGCAAAGTGCTGAGGAATGGCAGAAAAAGAGAAACTGAAGATGGCAACTGTAGACCACTTTTTATAGGAGTTTGGCTAATAAAGGGAAGAGAGATATAGAACATTCATTCAAGGCTACGATAGGGTGTAATGGAGAGGTTTTTTGTTTGTTTTTTAAGGATGGAAAACACTTGGGCCTGTTTGAAGGCAGTAGTTAAGGAAACAATAGAAAAAGAGAGGTGGAGTGGGGACAAAACTGAGGTCTACTGGAAAAAATGGGAAGAGATTAAATGCACATATACAGGGGTGAACTTTGGCAAGGGGAAGGGCCACATCATTATTAGAAATTGGAAGAAAAGAGGAAAGAGTAAGGGCTAAGAAAGAGAAGGTGAGAAGAAGAAGCTCATGGGGGGGGTTGGTTAAAAAAAAAAAGTGTCCTTAATCTCCTCAGTAAAAGAAATCAGAAGGGGCAGCTAGGTGGCAGCTAGGTGGCACAGTGGGTAGAGCACTGGCCCTGGAGGCAGGAGGACCTGAGTTCAAATCTGACCTCCACTAGCTGTGTGACCCTGGGCAAGTCACTTAATCCTGATTGTCTTGCAAAAGGAAAGAAAAAAATAACTATCAAGGTCCTCTGCTGAGATAGGATAGGGGTAGGTGGGAGGAATAAGGAGAAATGAGAAGGTTTGGTATAACTTCTGTGTGGAATGAGATAAGGAATCAGTTACTCAGTAATGAAAACATTGTCTTGCTGTAGTAAAGTTAGATAACAAATTTTTTTATTATATCAGGTCAGTAAGGTTGTGTGAATTCTTTTAACTCTGCTCAGCAGCACATAAGCAGAAGCAGAGGAGGCCAGTGGTAGGTGTCATCCAAGGCTGGGCTTTGGTAAGGGATGAAAAGCATAGGACAAGGGGGTGAATGTTCTAAGAGTGGAAGATAGGGTGAAATTGAAACCTTTCCATACCACCCTAGCCCCTATTACGTTCTTCTGCCTGAGAACTAGCACTTATTGTGACCTATTTGACATACCTGTATTGTCATCATGCATTCACCAACAAACCTGCTTATTTTAAGCTAGATAATAAGCTTCCTGAGAGAAAAAAAAAACAGGTCTTATACCTTTTTGCATATACTCTAGAATCTAGCATTGTTCCCTGAATACAGCAGGCACTAAATATCTATTTTTATTTGACTGATTTAATTCAACATCTATTAAGTATTTACTATATGCAGATTATTGTGTGGAATATTGGGTAAAATTTTAAAAAATCATAGAAGCTGCTCTCTTTGAACATAAAATCTAACACTGGTATGTGGTCGATCAGAAGAAAATTATAATATACAAAATAACACTGAATAAATATGTAAGAGGTACAAAGCACTATATGAAATCTCAGTGAAAATGTTCATTATTGATTAATTGCTGAATGAACTTTTTCAGAGGGAAGAGAAAATTGGATGTCAGCTCTGTTTCTTCTCTAATCCTTTTGAATTAGTATTTGCATCCAGAAATGTACTTGTTATAATCAAATTCTGTTACAACTATGAGAAAAGGAAAATAAGCAGAGTTCATTATAATTAGGATTTTATCTAGAAAAGGTATAATTGACAAATATCAACAACAACAACCACATCTAGAATAGCATTGTCATTATTACATATTCTTCCACACTGTAGCCCATTACTAGGATCTTGACCTCCAAATGGGTTGAAAAAACTCCCTGAATGTGTGAAGAAATATCAATCATTAAATCTGTTGCTTCCAAGTAAATGAATGGCACAGAGATATACAACATCTTTTTTGACTGAGTTGACCTAAAGAAAATGTTCAACTTGTTTCTTGGCTCTTTATGTTCCTAAAATGTCAAGCTTAACAATAACAGGGTTCAAAAAAAAAATATGGTTGCTAGGTCACTGCTATCAATTGCATATTCCACTCTGACAAATAGAACAGATGTTTGTCTCTTGCAACACTGGAGACCAAATTTTTGATCTTCTGGTGCAGGGAAAAAAATCCTTCAGGGACAAATTTTGGCCAGAGGGCACAGTGTCAGTAGCCAGCTGGCTCTCCGCTAGAGCTTTTGTGTGGACTGATGGAGAAGAGGTTCATGATTGTTTTCCATATAGGCAGGAGTGTGGGACCCCTTGCTACTCCTAACACTCTATGTTGCATTCTCCCATTATGCTTCTTTGGCTGAGCATCTTTAGGATTTCTTCTCACTATAGTTTCACAGGTCACAACAGATTTAGAACTCCAGAGGAAACAAACTTGAACAGCTTCCTCAAAAATAAATATGGAAAGAGAAGGTAGCTATAGAAATTAGATGGTGTACTTCTAGACTATCTAAGAACAAAGACTCCAGCAAGCAGGATTGGAGGGTTGGATAGTTGAGTCTTCACCTAAAAAGAAATGATGCTACCTACCTGCCTTTGCTACTACAGAAGGCAGTTTGTACTAGCAAGCTACTAAGAGTCAAACTCTAGATATGTTTATCAGTTTGAGCATGAAATTAATTTGAGCAACTTTTGGTTATTTGGCATCTCTTTTATACTGGATTTCCCCACATTTCTGTCTGTTAGATTTTAATCAGAAACAATCTTGTGAAATACTTTGAACCCAGCTAAGTCTTTAATTTAAAAGGTTAAAAAAAATTAAGAAAAAAAAATATTGGCATTGAAGAATGAAATAGAGATAAAACTCCAATTCATCAGAATTACAACTGAATGAATGTCTTAAGGAAGGTGTTTCTGGGGCCATTTTACTCAAAGTTTTAGGGAGCTATCATCTCTGGCTCATCACCACAACCAAAAGGCCGAGTCTGCATTCCTGGCTGGAACTCTACACTATTGTGGAAGTGCTCTTATATTTTTCAATCGGCTACAATAAATATGAACTTTTAATATTTAGTAAAATGTTTTCTGATTAAATACAAAATGAGAAGAAATTAAGAAGGAATGCGATGTCAAGTAACCTCAAAGTCACTTGGTTTAATATCACTTTAAAGCTCCTATTGAACCAATACATTTATTAACTGTGTACTATGTACAAGGGACTATAGTAGGTACTGTAAAAGAACTAAGTTTTATCCTTCTCCCTTTCTCCTTCCTTCTTCTGATAGTTTCTGATCTGATCATATTGGTAAATAGACCATACATATACAACTGAAACCAAGAGTGAAAAATAGAAGTCATAAATCCCAAAATGAGTATGACTTGTAAAAATGATAAATGATGGCCTAGAAGCTCAGAGTAAGGGGAGATTTATAATGATCTGAGTTGATCAGTCAATGCTCCACAAAGAAGATATATCTTAAATTTGGACTTGAAAGATGGATTGAGCACATCTCGAAAAAGGGAATCATTGGGGCTTTAATAAAAATGTGATGGCAAGCATTACATTTGAAGTCATACTTTGTCAACTATAAAACATAAATTCCTGAATTATTATGAAGAATTTTTCTGATGATGGGCAAATGAGCCCTGGATGGCTAAATGCAAAAGAGCACAATTAATCTCTCAGATAAGGCATTTTACCTCTCAGGCCTCAGTTTCCTCTTACATTAAATTACATTGAATTTCACTAAATGGGAAGGATTCTAAGGTCATCTTTAACACCCTGTTATGCTATAAGCTATTCTAGTAAATTTTTCATGGTTAGAAAAAATTAACAGGCAGAAGAATAGAGGTTAAACCTCTGATTACGTTGGATTAGGGAACTCCCAGATAAGGGACCTCTGTGTAAGAGGAGAGGTAGATATTTTCACTGTAAATAATAGCCTTAGAGAGTTGCTTAAAAACTAAGAGGTTAAGCGACTTTTGCAGAATTGCACAGCCAGTATGTGTGTCAGAGGCAAGAGAATTCAGGTTTTCCTGATTCAGAAGTCAGATCTCTAACCTTTCTGATACTTCGCCTCTCTAATATAAGGAGATGTCTAAAAATTAAGGGCTTTGTGCAGAGTTATTTTTTTAAAAAAAAAAAGATCAACAGCACATTCAATTCTCATATGGAGGGACTGTTAAAAATGTCTTGAGAGAAGCAATAAGATTAAAGCAGTATACCTGTTTTGGTACAAGTATCACAAAATGGCGCATGGCAGAGATGAGTATATTTAGCCAACTCTCTGTCTCAGATGGGCACATTCTAATAATACAGAGATGAAAGCATTTGAATGAAAGAATGAAAAACAAAACATTTTTTAAGGCTTACTATGTGCAAAGCACTGTGTCTAACATTGAGCGTACAAATACAAAAGCAAAGATAGTCCCTAATTTGATTAAAGCTCCAGAATTGAAAATGGGATAGGAAAGGGTGAGGTTTTTTAGATGAGTCATGGGCAATGCTTCTGACAAAGCGGCCTTTATTTTATATGAAGATTAAATAAACTGCTCCCTTTATATCAAGCACAAGTGAATTATTCCATGAATAACATCTGTTGTTTAGGAACATTAAAATACTGACCAGCTTATTGTGTTCACCATGAAGAGTGAGAACAATAAAAGAGGTATTTTTCCTTCCCTTCCTCCACTCCCCTAGATGATTCCAGGGCCCATGAAGGCTGACTCTTAAATCTCTTCTTCACTACAACCTGGAACAATTGAAGTAATATTCGTAAAGGGCTCCTTGTTTTAGCAGCATGGCTGGTCAGATTTTGTTTGCAACAAGAAAATACGTAGATCAGAGAACCAGAAAGGAAAATGAAATGACTTAATTCCCCCCATTTTTGTTCTATGGGTGTTTGCCCCAGTTGGGAGGTTTCTGAAAGACTGCTTCCCTTCAACTTACTAGTTTCCCCTGAGTCCGGAACACCTCTTCTGCTCCTTCTGCTTTGTCTAAGGCTGATTTGGGGATTGCTTTCTCCTGTGATAGCGGGTGCCCCACTCTCCTGTTAATGAAAAAGACCCAGGTTATTTACAAAAAAATAAGCAGAAGTGAAAGAAGTAGGAAGCATGAGAGCCCTGTACCCAGGGCTAGGCAGCTTCTTGGTAACTCACTTGTAGTCCGGTGATGGCAGCAGCTTCTGACTGAAGAATAGTAGGGTGGGTTTCTGCTTTCTCCTTCTGCAGGTCCTCCAGTTGCTCAGTCCGGCTCCGATAACCCTGAAGTTCATGCCGGAGACTCCTCAACTCAGCCTGCAGGGTGAACACTTGGTACAATGAGACCAGTGTCAGGCCACCAGAGAGGAGTGTCAGTAACAGAGTGGCTGACAGGAGCCCTCCTCTTCTAGCCTGCCATGCAGAGCTTTTTCTCTGAGGAAGGGTGGGTATAAAATCCAGGAGTTTCATTTCTTCTGTCTTCTTAAGGCCAGAAGTGAAGAAATAAAGTTTAACTGCTCCTCTTTCTCTGTCGTCATCCATTTCACTATTTGAACTTTGAGGGTTAGAGAAGGCAGAATAAGTGACCACATGGAATGGATCATTTCCTGTTAGGCTTGTTTGCTGATGTCCAGAGCTGAGGGGATCTTAGAGCCTGTCTTGCCCCATCAGGAGGCCTCTCCTGAATTTTCTTCCTTCCTCTGCTATGCATCTCTGTAGTTACCATAGAATAGGTTTTTACTGGCGATCTCTCCTTTATATTATTGCTCAATCAGCCTTCCTCTTTTCACTTTCAGTTTTTGTTACATGTTTTTATTGGCATCTCTCAAACTTCCAGGAGCAAATGGGATCCATAGCCCTTCTTTCTTAGACACAGCTTTGATCTTTGACTAAGAGGTATATCAACCAAAATGTTTTAAGTCCCCAAATAACAAATTAGTATGTTTAAGCATCCATATATGAAACCTTCATTAGACTATTTCTAGTTGGGCTCTGTCTACTTTAAGATAGATGAGGCAAAACTGGGACAAGTCCAAGCCAGGGCAATAAAACCAATGAATGATTAGGTAAGGTCAGGTAAATAAAGTACAGTTTAGTTTTCTTGCGGAAATGATTCAAAAGTAATCTGAAGACCAAAAATAGATGAAAGGTCACTATGTGAGAAATCACTAGTTTAATTCCATCTAACAACATAAGAAGAAATGTGCCTAAATTGAAAGAAAGATTTGGGTTAGCTATGGTGAGGGGGGGAAATTCCAATATCCTATCTTATTGAAAATTTCCTGCAGGATTCTACATAAATTACTAATGGAGACATACTGAAGCTCTTTAAGAACAAGAGATAATCACCTACTTGCAATAAATTCTTCATTGCTTTCCACATACACGATACTCAGTGCCACTTCTATGCCTTCCCTCATGCTGTTCTTCTGCATTAATCCTTTTCATGCTGGGATTCTTTCTTCTCCTGGCTGCCTATTAAAATCCTATCCATCTTCCCAAGCTGAACTCCAGGAAAACTTTCCAAATCATAGGATAAAAGAATCATAGAGTGGGAATCAATACCAAAAAACAGCAACAACGACAAAAAAATAACTTTCAAACAACAAATATTTATTAAATATCCGCTATATGCTAAGGCCTGGGCTAGGCGCTGTAGATACAGACACAAAGAATGAAATAGTTGGTATTATACAAGGAGTTTACAATCTAATGGAAGAGACAAGTATGTACAAAAATGCATACAACACAAACATAAAAAAAGTCATCGGGATAACTAATGCAAAGGCGCAGAGAAAGGAAATGATGTTTCACGTATGAATAACACAGAGGATGCCAGTTTGTCTGTTGTCTGGATCAGAGTGTAAGAGGAAAAATATCCTATGAGTCTGGAAAGATAGACTGGGTCCAGATTGCATAGTGCTTTGAAAGTTAACTTGAGAAGTTTATATATTGTCTTAGAAACAATAAGAAGCCTGGAGTTGGATGGTTGATCAAGAGAATTGCACAGTCAGATCTGTGTTTAAGGAAAATTACTTTGGCAGCAATGTATAGAATCAACTGCATTGGGGACGGATTTGAGGCAGGAAAACCAATTATTAATAATCTAGATGAGAGGTGAAGAAGACTTGATCTAAGATGGTAGTTGTGTGAATAGAGAGAATGGATTGAATGTGAGAGATACTGTAAAGGCATAAATGGCAAAATTCATCAACTTTTTAAAATATGTATGGTGTGGAATAGTGAAGAATTGAGAAGAAAGCTGAAGTTATGGACCTGGAAGTCTTGAAGGATGGTTTGTGCCTTTGACAGAAATAACAAATTTTGGAAGAACAGAAGGTTTAGGGAAAAAATAATGAGTTCAGTTTTAGAAATATTGATTTTAAGATATCATTAGGATATCACACTTGAAATGTCCAATAGGCAAGTGGTGATGCAAGACTGGAGCTCAGGAGAAAGACCAGGGATGGACAGGTAGATCTGGGAGTCATCTGCATAGAGATGATTGTCAAATTCAGGGGAGTTTATGCAGTTACAGAGAGACAGAGAGAGAAACACACACACACATACACAAAAGAAGAGAGAGAGACAGAGACTGAGACAGAGAGACACACAGAAAAACAGAGACAGAGGCAGAGGGATAGAGAGACCAAGACAGACAGGGACAGAGATAGTGAGACAGAAACAGAGAGACAGAAAAGAGACACAGAGAAACAGAGAAGAGGGGAGATGAGAAGAGATCCTAGGACAGAGCTTTGGGGATCACCTTCAACTGGAAGATGTGATATGGGTGGTGATATACCAAAGAAGAATGAGAAAGCGCAGTTAGACAGAAAGGAGATAAACCAGGACAGAGTAGTGTCATGCAGGTTGTTGTATTTTTCCTTTGCTCTTGAAGAGGACTATGACATCAGGGAGATGATGACATGACTTGCAATTGACTTTGATTTGAGTGAGAAAGGGCTGTGCAAGGTCACCAGCCTCACTTTCTCCTTCAGAGCAATCCAGGTCCAGTGGTGAGATAAAGGTCAAGACAACCAGAGATGGCCCCGGATGTGGTGGGAGACCTTGGCCTTTTTAAGCTAAGGTCTTCTCAAGTTCTCACTTTGAGTGAGGCAATGCCCATTCAGTGAATAGGCCTCTTTAAGGAGTGAGTCAAGGGATGGCCCCTTTAATTAAAAAAAAAGTCAAACTGGGAAAGGAAGACCCTCAGGATTGCTCACCAAAAGAGAACCAGTTTCTATTTACATTCACTCTGAGCCAGGAGGGCCCAAAAAATAACCATTAAGTGGTGCTTAGGCAGAGACCTATTGTTGTCCAACCTATGAGCTCCAGAGTGAATTGGGTTTAATGCTAGCCAATAAACCCCAAGTTAAGTAGGCAGCTTTTGTCCATTAAACTTAAGGGTTATTTTTGGGGTTGATTTTTTTTTTTTATCAAAGTGGCCATCTCTTGACTCACTCCTTAAAGAGGCCTATTCACTGAACGGGCATTGTCTCACTCAAAGTGAGAACTTGAGAAGACCTTAGCTTAAAAAGGCCAAGGTCTCCCACTGCATCCTGCCATGTCCAGTTGTCCTGACCTATATCTCACCCCTGGACCCAGATGGCTCCGGAGGAGAAAGTGAGGTTGGTGATTTTGCATAGCCTTTCCTCACTCAAATCAAAGTCAATTGCAAGTCATGTCATCAACTCCCTGATGTCATGGTTTCCTTCCAGAACAAAGGACAAACACAACCTGTGAGTAGTTCGACCTGCCTGAATGGGAGCCTAGCTGGACAGTTCCAGTTGGGTAACTCAGCTCCTCTCTTCTCCTCTCTTCTCCCTTCCCCTGTCCTCTTACCTGAGAGTGTTCCACCCAAAGGAAGGTAAATTTTGATGCCTGAAAGCTGCCTACTTAACTTGGGGTTTACTGGCTAGATTTTCTTCTCAAAGACCATGCCTTAAACCAAAGTCACTCTGGAGCTCACAGATACTGTCATGCAAACTCAGAGAGGAAAGAACACCCAGAAAAAGAGGATGGTCAACAGAGTAAAATACAGCAGAACAGGCAAGAAGAATTGGTACTGAGAAAAAACAAACATATTTGGCAATTAAGAAATATTAAAGGGGGTGGAGCCAAGATGATAGAGTAAAAGCAGTGACTTGCTTGAGCTCTCCCCAAACCCCTCCAAATATCTGTAAAAAAAAATGGCTCTGAACAAATTTTAAAGCAGCAGAACCCACAAAAAGACAAGTGAAACAAATTTCCAGCCCCAGACAACCTGGATGGTTGATCAGAAAGGCCTGTTGCACCAGGCTGGGAGAGGAGTGCAGTTCAGCATGGGCTGTGCAGGCAAAGATGGTGTGAGAGCAAACCTGGAGGAGGCCTCAGGAGACTGAATCACTGGCAGCTGTAATATTTTCCAGACTTCTCAACCTGCAAATGCCAAAGACAACTTAGAAGGTCAATGGGAAAGGTCCATCAGACCTGGTTGAGAGAGGAGTGTGGCCCAGGGTTGGCCCTAGTACAGCCCCAGGGTAGCAGCCACAGCAGCAGCAGCTGCTTCTGGAGCTCTTGGCCCGCAGACACTGGGGGGATCAAGCAGCTGATCAGAGGGGGATTGTAGGGATCTCTTTGCTGGCACTGAGGCACAATTCTCTTGCTTTGTCCGTTCTTGGATTTGGGTTGCAGTTCTGGGTAGCAGTCCTGGGGCAAGGAGGAACATTGGCATGGTAGAGCTTGTGGTGGATGTGAAGAGAAAATCCTCCTCACAGTTCCAAGGCAGAAAAGAATTCTTGTGGTCACTCAGAGACCAGAGCACAGGTCAGGAAAGGAGTAAACACCTCTCCTTTGATCATACCACCTTGGAAGAAATGGAAATTTACAGGTCCCTAGAAGTCTCTGAAAACAGCTGCAACTCCCCTTCACACTGGAAGCAGAACTCTACCTTAACAGAGAGTTAAAAATCCAAGTAAATGACTGGGAACATGAGTAAACAGTGCAAAAAAGTCAGACCATAGAATCTTACTTTGGTGACAAAGAAGATCAAAACATACAGCCAGAAGAAGACAACAAAGTCAAAGCTCCTACATCCAAAGCTTCCAAGAAAAATATGAATTGTTCTCAGATCATGGAAGAGCTCAAAAAGGATTTTGAAAAGCAAGTAAGAGAAGTAGAGGAAAAACTGGGAAGAGAAATGAGAGTAATGCAAGAAAATCATGAAAAACGAGTCAAAGGCTTGCTAAAGGAGACCCAAAAAAAATAGTGAAGAAAATAATACCTTAAAAAACAGACTAACTCAAATGCAAAGAGGTCCAAAAAGCCAATGAGGAGAAGAATGCCTTAAAAAGCAGAATTGGCCAAATGGAAAAGGAAGTCCAAAAGCTTGCTGAAAAAAATGCGTCCTTAAAAATTACAATGGAGCAAATGGAAGCTGGTGACTCTATGAGAAATCAAGACATTGTAAAACAAAACCAAAAAAAAAAAATAGAGAATGTGAAATATCTCATTGGAAAAACAACTAACCTGGAAAATAGATCCAGGAGAGATCATTTAAAAATGGGTTGAACTATTTGAAAGCCATGATCCAAAACAGAGCCTAGATATCATCTTTCAAGAAACTGTCAAGGAAAACTGCCCTGATATTTTAAAAACAGAGGGCAAAATAAAAATTGAAAGAATCCACCAATCACTTCCTGAAAGAGATCCCCAATGGAAAACTCCTAGGAATATTGTAGCCAAAT